ANNNCNNNCNNGCTGCTAGGTTAGTTGTGTTTTGTTGCTAGGTTAGTTGTCTTTGTTGCTAGTTTAGTTGTTCTTTCTTGCTGCTAGGTTAGTTGTCTTTTGTTGCTAGGTTATTTCTTTCTTGCTGCTAGGTTAGTTGTGTTTTGTTGCTAGGTTAGTTGTCTTTGTTGCTAGTTTAGTTATTCTTTCTTGCTGCTAGGTTAGTTGTGTTTTGTTGCTAGGTTAGTTGTCTGATGTTGCTAAGTTAGTTGTATTTTTTTTATATAAAAAAATTGTAACCCATAGGATTTGAACCTAGTTGTGTTTTGTTGCTAGGTTAGTAGTTGTCTGATGTTGCTAAGTTAGTTGTATTTTTTTTTTATAAAAAATTGTAACCCATAGGATTTGAACCTGGTACCTCATGGAGGCAAGACAAGCAATGCAACCACTACACCACTCAAGGTTGAGTGTCTTTTGTTGCTAGGTTATTTATTTCAATACAACGGGTCAACACCGGAAGTCAACGGTCAACGCCGGAAGTCAACGGTCAACGCCGGAGTCAACGGTCAACTATTTTATTATTTAATTAATGTATATTTTAATTGATTTTGATCTAGACAAAATGAGTGGCTAAGATTGAGTCTCACGTACTCATTTTAAGGAGTGGTCTCATTGGATCCATCCCCTATATATATATATATATATATTCGAACAGAGGTGCTAACAACTCACGGCCACATTGAGAAATATATACTTATTATCAAACAAAAATTCTCCAAAGTTCTAACTATTTTAGGTATCCAAAACAGGTTTTTCCTACTCAAATATTTCAACTATGCCTTGACCCCACAAACATGACATAACTAAGTCCATTACCATAAAAAGTAAAATAAACAAAAATATATGTATGAAGTTAGAGAAAACTGCTGATTCCATTCTATTAAACATCATATGACAAAAAGTGATGGGATGTATGGATTGTGTTAGATTATAAATTCTAAATAAATATATCCAAATACAAAGAATCCACTGATCAGTAATTTTCACAACTGCATAATTACTAGCAGTTCATCGTCAATCATTCAACTCTGAGTTCATCAGCAACTTTTTTAATCAAACACAGACACAGCACCTCTCATGGTTTTCGAGAACCAAAATTACGAAATTGACAAGTTTTCAGAGTTTCGAAACCTATTAAAAACCGGGGTCGAGTATAAAAACGAAACGACAAAAATAGAGGAACGACGAGGGGTCGTACAGATGAAGCGAAGCTCGGAAAATACAACGAATACTCACAGCCACAAACTCGGTTTTTTTAACAACGAGAGTTCCATTACCACGATAAAATTCATCGAACATAATCCAACGAACGAACGGAACGCACGTACCGAGAAAAATATCCAACATCATATGAACAAGAGATCAATACGAAAATAAAAACGAAAGGGGTCAAGCCGGTATTATCGCACACCAACGAATCTACAAGTCGGGATGAAAATCGGATGAGATGTGCGGACAAACGGACTCAGACGAACGGAGTGGAACTTCTAACTCCTCGAACCGACCGGGACGGCTGCCTGCGAATGAGATGGACGTCGGGTTGCTCGAAGGTCGACGGGGCTGCCGGCGATGATGGCGGAGGACTGTTTGGGCTGCGGGGCGAGGAGATGGTGAATGAATTTGGTGCTTATCTCAAGGGTCTCGAGTGTTCAGAGGTGAAAAAGAAATGGAGTGATGTGTTCTGATATCTCTCAGTGCAAAAAAGAGGAAAAACGAGTGATATAAATGGCTAATAATGAGAAAATTAAAAAGGGAGCCTAGGAGATTTACGTTACCAAAATTAGTGCTAATCTAATGCACTAAATGAAGGAGAAACCGTACATGAGGGATACTCAAAGGTTGACCCATTCCTTCCATAATAAGCTTGGCACACATTTGAATATTAAAAGGATAATTGGGATTGAATTTAACTAATGCAAAATTTGTTTTAACAATTGCAAAGTCCAGTTTTTAAGGTTCACAATGGACTGAAAATGGAAATCAATTGGGTAAAAAAAATGATTATTCGAGGTTCGGAGTCAAAACGGATAAAAAATCGGTTTACGCAATTAAACCGAAAATCGCCGAAACGAATAAATTCTCAATCAAATAAATTCTAATATTTCTAACACATAAGTAATTAAATAAGTGACAAACAGGGGTTGACGGGTGCAGTCCCACGGACGAAGCGCACCAAAGCAGGAAGCCAAAATGAAGCCCAGGTGAGGTTCCATTCCAAAACCAATTGGTGGAAAGCGGAGTAGCTCATTAGTCTTATATAAGGTGGGTCTATTTTCCTGAACGATGTGGGACAACTCACAAGTGATATTTTAACACACCTCCTCACTTGTGAGTCCTTCGAAAACCCAAGCCCAACTGGGCTGGGTGACGGGTACGTCACCGATAGAATCGGCTCTGGAAAAATGGGTGCGGGCCCACTAATATGAAGGAAAACGAGAAAAACTCATATGAAGCTCAAATGGGGTTCCATTCCAAAACCAATTGGTGGAAGGAGTAGCCCATTAGTCTTATAAGGTGAGTCTATTTTACATGTATGAACGATGGGGACAACTCACAAGTGATATTCTAACAATAAGGACAATTAAGCATATAAGAATTAATATTCACGCAGATAAATAATATAGGCATAGACGAGCAAGTAATATAAAACAAAGGAGTAAATTAAATAAAATACAAATAAATAATAATAATAATAATATTCGAAAAATCTAATAAACGAACGGCGCCCTGTTACCGTTGGTAACATGCACTTCTCACACTCAGAAACAATAAGATCGGACAAGGGAAGAATATGTTGAGGAAATCCGATGCTGAGAAATCGAAAATGAGGTCAAAATCGACGAAGAAACCACTTCGAGACGTCTCGAATGCAAAACCCGTCACAAAACCTGCCAATAATACGAAGAAAAATGACGGAGGACAAATGGGAGACAAATCAATCGACCACCTCATTGTATAGAACTCTCATCTAGTCATTGTTTGGGGATATTGTATTGAAATGGAGTAGTATTTAGCAGTTGTTTTAGTTTTTGCCACCTACACTCAAACAATTTGTTTGATTGTTGGGATCTAGGGGCTTCCTTTGAAAATTTAGAAATTTTAACTCTATTGCAATCTAGTTCATGGGTTAATCTATAATTTAATACAAATTGATAATTGAACAATAATGTTTAGTGCAATGAACAATATTACATTTGGATATGCACGTCGAAATATATCGGCGGTGTAGAATGCACAAAATTTTAGACAAGATGCACATTATTGCCTTGAGAATGAATTTTAGCGTAACTGTGTATTATGAGCAATGACTAAAATACAACGCGTGAAAAATCAGAAGTCCACATAATTACAACAATGCCACCAACCCTTTGATTAAAGCAGGACCTTTTGACCGGAACACCAAGCAGCGGAAGCGGCGAAAGAAGTTCCGGACCCTTTGACCCTTCCTAGAGCGTTGATACAAATGTGATCTCTACGATGTTATTCTTATATCCGACCCATTCTCATGTGATCCTACTTTTGTATATATATTTCTGATTTTTGGTTCGATTCAACTGAACCGAACCATTTGTATACTAATACCAATTCTGAACTGAAATCGAATCGGTTATGACTTTTTGAGCGTGTTTGTATACGAATATTTTCGTTCAAGTGAGTGTTTTTTGTTAACCAGAGTTAATTTTAAAAAAATGTGGTATGGTTAGTTATTAGTAGGATTTCTATTTTATATTAAAATAATATTTATAATAAAATAATTATAATTGATTTGATGTAAAAGCAGGAGAGAGATGATGTGAAGTGATAGTTAGTTAAAATTATGTGAGTGTTGAATAGCAAAATGAAGTTGATGTGATGTATAAGAATGATTGATTAATATTATTTAATTATATTAATAATATTGATGATAGTGAAGTTGAGTTAAATTTGAGTTAGTTAATAATATTAATAATATTAATAATATTGATGATAGTATGAGAAACAGGAAGTATGTTAGTTGTTCCCTTCTAGTCGAGTTTATTGGATAGGTACGATTCTACAAGAGAAAAGTACTTTATAATTTGACTAAATTATTACGGACTAACAGATTTATCCTAAACTGGAAAAGAATTTAAGTATGTTAGTTGTTCCCTTCTAGTCGAGATTATTGGATAGGTACGATTTTTAGTTGCATCCACATTTCTAATTTGATTGCTTTTAATATCATGCCATCCATATTTACCTAATCAATCCAACTGACATGTATCTTTCATTCCTTATCTGGCAAGTTCATATTTCTTTTAACAACAGCGTGTGGACATATGAAACATATAAAGTGTAGATAGGTTTTACCATCAACTAATTCATGTCCAATTTGCTGTGTGTTATCCATGCAAGTTACAATGGAAAATTGACGGGGTATGCTTGTGTTAGAAGAATTTTGTCAAGTTCAAGTAATATAATTTCAAGGTTCAAATTGAAAAATGGATTTCGAAGTTGAAAACTTCTATTAAAGTTTTGTAAATTGATTTAGGGGAATATTTTTTTGTCTCTTTGCAGACACATGTTGCCCTTGATGTGATAAAGAAAAATGACGTCTCAGCAGCCATATTTGGCCCTGGATGGGTCCATGAGACTAAGCAACCACCTGACTTCCAGACTGCTCAAAATCGGTAATGCAGCTTCATTTTGATGCAATTATTTCATCGTATTATTTGCTTGTCTTTTGCTTTATACTAAACTTGTGCATAGCTATGCCCGGCCAATTTTTATAGAATGTTTATGAATTAAGTCAATGATGTCATATGTATAAAACACGGTTTTGCTATAGAGCCAACAATTGATTCTATAATGGAAACAAACAAGTAAAATACTATATTATTTAATAAGATAAAGAGTACAGTTAACAACTACTTGATATGTACNAAAAATTTAAAACACTTACATTTTTTAATTTGAATTTTAACAAAATATATACTGCAAAAATTTGTAATATTATTTCAAATTATGTAAAACTTCTTTGAATTCTTGTAGTTAAACAATAGAATTAATAATAATCTGTACAACATAATTTGAAAAAAAACAGTACACCTTTTTGTAGTATTTAACCTTTTAAATTCAAATTTCAAAATATATGAGTGTTTTAGTTTTTCACTGTGGTTATTGATAAGTAGTTGTTATAACTAGAAAATGTGGTATTTTTCACTTGCTATAGAGCCAATTGTTGCTTCCATAGCAAAATTGATAAAAATATTAAACAATTCATATAATTGTTCAACAAATAACTGTTAGTTTATCTTTTTACGATATATATTGAATGTTTGAAATAATTGTTTGCATTCATTTATATGTATATGTGTGTGTGTGTGTGTGTGTGTATTATGTTTTTCAGTAGGACAAACTAAATTTTAAAAAAATCACGTAGTAGATATAATTATTAAATCAATATCTTGAATATAGAAAATGAGATAACAATGAAATAGTTATTAAGTTTGAAAAATTAAATTTATCAATAGTTCTTTAATTTTTTTGATTTAGTAAAAAGTAATTTAGCAGGTAAGCAACCGACTTTTATATTCATTTTACGATCAACAAGAAAATGATAAGATCAACAAAGATTTCCATTACCATTATATATTATATTCATATTATGGATGAATTAAAATAAATGATGCGGTTTGGAAAGAAAATCATTACTGTATATGAATGATTTGTTTTAATGATAAGATTTTTATTAAATATTTGTATTCAAAAGAAGATATTTATTAATATTTATAAATTAAAATGCTCATTAAATAATATTTATAAATTAAAATTTAGAACCAATATGTAATGAAATTTACCTATATTAATTTATCTAAAATGTTATATGAAATTTAAATTGTGCAAAATTACATAAAACATGTTTATTTAAAATTAGTACACAACCCATACGGTGCACATAACTGATAATAAATTACATTGTATTCATTTCAAAATAATCATTTAAAATTTTTATTTATAAATTCGATTTGAATATGTGGTTCCCTAAAATAATATTTTGATAAAATTTTGTCACATTTAAAAATCTATATGAATAATAAGCATAATATTAAAATTTTTATTGTTTAATTATTTAAAATAAATTTATTTTTGTATAAACTGTCCAAATTAAAAAAATTAAGTAGTTGAGTAATTTATTAAACTGTAAATAATTGCCTATTCTATTTACGTCCAACTTAATATTGACCCGTATGTTATGAATAATTACTTATTTGTATTTTAAATTTGGAATCCAATTTTGGACTAAATAAAAAATCCCATTATATATTTTATATATATCTATATTTTACTAATCTCGAAATTTTATAGATTTGTTGTTGGTTACCTTGTTGTTCAAATTTTTCAACTCATTTTGTAGAATTAAATTTTAAATTTTATTAATAAATATTTGTTCAAAGATCTTTTTAATTTTCAAGAGGAATATATACCAATTTTTCCAAATTATCATCAATATTTTATGGCAAGTTATTATGGTAATATGCTAAAATTTGAGAATCATATCACCTTGATTTTATAACAAATCAACCTAATATTCGACTTTAATACCCATACTAAATAAATTAATACCAATTATATTTTATTTTCAAAATTTTAAATACATTTCTATAAATTCATACTATTTAAATTCGGACATTTCGTACAAATAAAAATCGCCATCTTTTTATTCATCATAATACTCAACAATTATTTTATTTTAAAATTTATTATCATATAATATGTATTAAGATAATTTTTTAAATTAACCACCCTATTTTATCATATTCTTCTACTTTGATATTTATAACTAACTAAATTTTATACTTTTATAATTAACGCAATACGAAATTCTATTTACGCTATGTAGTATAAGAACAAAAATGCAACGAATTACGTTGTAAACATTTTAAAACACTAAAAGGTATATAACTTCAATATAAATGGTTGTTAAGGCGAGATTACACTATTTATGGGGAGCCCCGTGCGTTAGGAAGACTAAAAATATAAAATATTGATTTATTAAAAATTAAGCAAATCATTTATTTTTTTTAAAAGAAAACAAAGAAATACTGTGATAGGATACCAATCAATTTTATGCATGATATATCGTATTTATCTATATAAATTCCATGTTATCGAAATTCATAATTTTATAATTTTTCGTTCAATTTAGAATATATTTATATTTTAATTTTAAAATAAATTACATAGTTATCCAAGATTTCTAACTTATTTTTTTAATTGACATGTTTAAAGCAATGAGTTAAAATCAATTGACAGGAATAATTTTATTCATTCTCAATTTGTTGTACAAATATTTATTGAAATACATTTATTAATTATATAATAAAATAAATATAATATTCTAATTAACAATTAAAGTTAGATGAATTATATTGGCTTGTAAATAGCGTGTAAATAACAAATATTTTTGAAATATATTTATTATTTATATAATAGAATAAATATAATATTCTAGTTATTGAGAACATCTATTTTCAATTTCATATGTGGAATGTTGGTGCTAAGTGATATTAATTGCAATGGATATGGAATGTTGCGGCTGTAATATATAGTAAGAGAGAATCTTTATGTATATTGCAATTAATAGATAAATTTGTTTTCATAATAAATGAAAATTACACTAAAATAAAATCAAAATATTTTTAAAATTCATAATTAAAGCTCTATTGGTGGGATTTTTTTCAATTTGTTTTTTAAGAAATTACCAAGTTTAGTAGTTTTAACAATTTTAGACGGGATTTTTGTTTATATTTCTAATTCATACAATTATATATATATATTCCAATTAATAATAAATTAATCAAATTCGTTCAGCCGTAAATATGCTTTTAGTTAAATATTAGATTTATAAAATTTCCTCAAAAACCAACTAACAGTTTCCATTAAATATAAAATCGTAAGCTTATACTAGATTATAATTAAAATTTCAGATTGGTTAAAATTGAGCAAAAATCATGGATATATACCAAGTTTAAAAACATGGCAAAACAGAATATGGTAAAGCGCGTGGAATCTACGTGTGCAGATTGTACTTAAAAAAAAATCATTTTTAATTAAAATTTTTGAGGTTTAAATTTAAGGAAATTCGTGGCTATAAACTAAGTTTCAAAATTTAGCTCCACTGATTATGGAATTATGGACAAAGTCAGATTTACGTGTCCAATATCCGCAATATATTATATATATTCCAAATATATTATACATTGTCAATATATTATATACCAAATTTAAATCATGCAACTAATATAGGTAATAGCCGCAATATTTGACCAAAATGATTATGTATATTAATTATATTGACTTTTTTAATTTGAATTTAAAAAAATTGACCGCCAATTATCGAAAAAATAAAAAAAATTACTAATAAAAGTAAAAACAAATTTTTTAGGCGATATTTTAGTGTAAATGCCAAAACTTGTTATATATATATAGTATCATTTTCTACATTTTTCTTATTTTGTCTAAAAAGTAAGTCACTTTGGGGTATTGCCACACCGTCATCATGATGGATTTGGCAAGTTCGGATGCTTTGAGAGTACTTTTTTCCTGGACAGAATTCATATTTTAAACTAATTCCAAAAAATATCATTGAGGTCAAGTCTAATTTTTTACAGTACTTGTTTCCTGGATAGAATTCATATTCATAATGTAAACTAATGACAAAGATATAATTGAGGTCAAGTCTGTCTAATTATTAGTGGCCGCAGCTGTCTGTTGAAATTACAAACCATCTCCGTATTAGTTTATATTTTATAAATCATACATATATACTGCCCACGGGATGTTTGTTAAACTTCAAATGAGGTACCTGTAATTTTGGAAGATAATTATTTTGTCCTATGTAATGATCTAATTATTCCTATGTAATGATCTGAAAGATCACCTATGCTTAGTCAGTGATATTGATGCATCTCACTAGTCTAATTTTCAGTTCAAAAGGCAATTATCATCCATTTTTTTGGTATAGAGCATCTGTGGAAGCTCTCAATTCACTCAATGTTGATTATTGCGGATATTTTTGAGTTCTCTATTGGGATTAAATTAACAGATGGTGGGGACTCATTGAGAAATCATGGGGAACTGTTCAGAAACAGCCCAAAGAACTTCCATTCTACTCAAATTTTGATCAGGTACCTATTGTACTATGTAACCGTTATAAGGTCAATCAGAAGCAACCTTTTCATTTCCTCACCTCATCTTCAAGTGCATGTCAGCTCAATTTTCACTTATCCATCTGCATTCACTTAAATATATAAGAATAAAAACAACAACAGTAAGAAAGAAAGAAAAGAGTAAAACAAAAGTGTTCCATTTTTATTAAACAGTATGGCTGATCCTATTGAAATTTAAAGCATGAATGCAACTTGTCAATAAATAAATGTCTGTATTAGTTTGCTTTTCAGCCATCAGATGTTGATGCCGCAATTTGCTGTTTAAATTATGTCCATAATAAAGCAAGTCTATAATATTGTTGACCTCACAGGGTCATGGTAACCATATTTCTGTTGATGGTAAGCAAGTGCTGAGTACTCCTTGGAATAACATCTCTTCCCAAAGTATTCAGGTATGCCGCTGATACAACTTTTGCTTAACATATTTTTGACAATTTAAATAGAAAACAAGTTTACCTCCAAGTTGCTTGGAACCAAGACTTTATATGAACACTATGTTGATATAACTTGTTTCATTTTCTCTCCCTTTTTCTTTTGTTCATGTTTTATTAACTCTGATTACCATTACAGCCATTTATTGAGTTCAATGACAGTAACACTCGGCCAATCCAGGTTTCCATTGGGTAAGTTGTTGTATTCAATCATATCATTTATTATATACGGTGTCTCCTAAACATGTTTCATAATTCAGTTCATCATCACCATGTATCTTGTCTCTTAAACGTATTGGTCGTGGTTTGACTCTTACATTATTTTATACAAAATATCTAACGTGATTGGTGTTAAGAAGAAACATTGGAATGATTTCTTGCTCATAGATTTATTTTAAATCTTTGAATTATTCATGACTCTTGAACCGTTGTCATTGGGTTATTATTTGTCATTTTGTGGTGTACTAAGTTAATGAAATTAGATAAGTACAAACCTTTTCTTGTCAATCATTCAGTTTGATCAGTTTTCTTGGTGTCCAATTCCAGCCATATTACCTAGCGACGTAACGTACATTTGTTAACTGCAGTGTGAAGGAAGCATCCTATAGTGGTGGAGGAAACATCACATTTAGAGGTACGCTCGATAGTGCTTCTGAATTCACGGCCAGACTCTTCCAAGGGGAGCTTCTTTTGGGGAATTTTCCAATTCACTTTACATATTCAGTAAGTCAATCAGACATTTCATCTTCTGTCCACTTTCTTTTTCTGAGTCCTCTGGTCCAACCATGATGTCACTTAAATAAGGATCTAATTGGAGATTGGCGGAAAACAGGGGGACTTGCTGCAAATATCTTTAACTAGAAACCCATTTGACATTGATCAGGCCCTTTGTGGTGATTTAGGTGCTAATTTGGAATATCTACATTGTCAATTAGGGATTTTGTGATTGCTATGTTGTTTAATCTCTGCATTTATTGGATATTTAGCATATATTTAGGTAGCATGATTATAGTGATTGAATCGGAATCAGAATACTACCTGTCCATTTATTGTATATACTTAGCTTCGTTATAGGGATATGAATAGGAATGAATGATCGTGCCATAAGGATTGTATTTGTTATATTTATCGTTGAAAACATTCTCAA